GTAATTTCTTATAATAGTTATAACAATGGCACGACTAATTTCCAAGGTTGTTGATACTTCTCCGTACGAGTTTTCCTCACCGCTTCATTTTATAATGACTTTTCTAATGTTTTGAGGGATTTCTTTTAAGAAAAATAGGGATAAGAAACGCACTTTAATTTTACGAAAGCAAGCGTAAGAACTAAGTACCGTTAATTAAACATGTTTTTTTCTTCCTGACACTTCTAGTCATGTGTGTATTCACTGTATGTGCACCTTTCGTGATATTTGTTTCTGGTTGAAGTGTATTTTCCATTTATAACTTTATCTTAAGTTTAAAAAAAAATCTTGAATTTTTATTTAATAAAACTGTTTTATTTTTTAAGATATATATTTTTAATGACTCTCCATCCATAGAGGCAATATTCGATAAGAGACACATTAATTTTTCGTACAGCATGCAGACTTTATTGGGCTACTGTCTGTCGGGGACCCCCTAATGTAAGCATATTCTTAATGAGCGCAAATGTCGGAATCGGTAACCACAACTGAAACAACATATTGCATTTATATAAACACGATACAATTAAAACATAAATTTCTTCAAGATCATCCCCAGATCAAATTTAAAAAAGTGAGTAAAAAGCAGTCCTGAAATTACGACTGCGACTACTAAACTATCACAAACAGTATACAGGCACTTATGTCAATTGTAATGTAATGCAGATGGAATACTTTAACTTTAAGTACATATACAGAAAATTAAGTGTCCCAGACCTAAGCTATCATATATACATATATATATATATATATATACATATATAGGATAGATATGAAAATTACTTGATAAGTTTCACGTCCCTTTATCGAAAATTCGCTTGAATTTCAACGCAAGAGCAATGATGTGTACAAAAAATTCGATTCGAGCCAAATATAAATTATGACTTTTTTTTTGTTTTTTTTTTTTATTTTCATTATAATTTCAAATAGTATTACAACAAACGTAATTGTGGTTAACTGAACGCTTGCAATTCATTAACAAAATAATTCCATTGTCGTATGAGTAACATTGATTATTTTTTTTTTTTAATATTAGTTGCGAAACCACTAAAATTATTTTATACATAAATATACTCTTACCTTTACCTTAAATTAAGGCGGCAAACGATGAAAAAGTTTATTAAACTGATTTATAATATAACGTAAAAAAGGGGGAAATTTTGATCATTTCTATTTCTTGAGAAATTCCTAACGGTTGAATCATGCGAACGATTAATTCTGACTGAAAGAATATATAGCAGCGTTTCAGAGTATTTGCACTAAATTGTACTAATTTAAAAAAAAATTTCACAATAATTTATTTCAAACTTTTCGATGATTATTTTTATTTACGAAGTATTAAAAGTATTTAAATTGATCATATTCACCGTATGATAATTTATAAAAGAAATGGGAAAATATTTTTGATCGCAATTACAAAAAAAAAAAAAAAAATTTATGGTTTTTAGCAATCAAACTCATTTACTATTAAACAAATAAGAACATTATAGTCGGGCAATGCCGACAATCAAATACCCTATACCACTTCGCGTAGTGCTCGTTTTTGTATGAAATTTCTATTATGAGTCAATTTTCATTACCACTCCTCTGCCTTGCAAAGGATCAATTTTCGTGAAAATCCTTGCTAGCGTAGCATTCAAAAAATAAGCCTAGATAATCCAATTTCGCTACAGTTGATTTTTTTGTGTTACATTGCTATTAGGATATAATTTTTCTCATTAAGCATTGAAAATTGTACATTTTTGTTGTATAAACTTCAATTTTCGTTACATAAGAGGGGGGGTGTTCAAAAATTGCCTCAGTCAGTCGAAAATTTTCATAACAATTTAGCATGCCGAAATACTACTTAGCTACTGTCGGTGAGAAATTTGAAAAATTGCAATTTTTTCCATATAACGAGTTTTCAGAATACGGCGTTATATGGAGAATATGATTGAAAAAGTAGACCGATCCGTACCATTCTCAATAGGTTTCATCAAAATATCTCAAAAATTGTGACCCGGTCATCGTTCTGCGTGTTACATACGTCCACATTAACTTAATATACCCTCCACGGCAAGTGGTACATGATATTAAGAAATTCAGGTGGAATGTTCTTTATTCAAGGCAATAGGTAGGTTAGGGTTTAAATAGATGCTTTTCAACTCGCAACACTGAAAAATGACGATAATTCGCAACCTTAAAAAAAAAACGAATATATAAGTGATTTAATTCCACAGGAATTAAAGAAAACAAGTAAGAAAATTATATTCAGTTTTGATCGAATTTTTTGTTCCCCTCACCATTATCCTAAAAAAAACAAAAAAAATAAAAGAACTACATTTGCACGGTCTATAATATGAAGTGCGCGCGGCTGATTTTTTCTATTTTCGAAATGGCAGACGAATGGCCGTTGCAGGCGTGTCCATTTCCAAAATCTTTTGCAAATTTACAAGCGATGTCTTCATTTTCGCTAACGGGAGAAAGCTTATCAAAAATACTAGACAGTTGCACAGGCAAGCAGATGGACACGGGAACGAACGGGCATGCTTAGAGGCGGCACAAATTGGAAACTGCCCAAGAATTTATATACTTTATGTGAGTTATAAAGCTTTCTTCTGTGCGGTATAAAGGTATTGAGAAAAAAGTTAAATTTTGATACACCATAATATTGGGAAGGCGTGATCAAATGTTGTCATTTTTATGCAGGCATTACAGTACCATATGAGATATGAACATGTATTTAAATGTGTACAAATTTTTCTGATGTCACTTATGAGTAATGATCAAAAACTAATTTGATATTACTCTTGAAAAACTGAAAATTTACGTGATACTATGGGCGTATCTTTTGACCGATTTGGCCTATTTTCAACACCAATTTGCGTGCAAGAATTTCCAATGTTTCAGACAAATTTTAAGTTGATAGCTTCATTTTTGCGGACAGGAGAATATTTGCAGCAGACATTGTACAGGCGGACAGACGGACATGCTTAAATCGATTTAGAATTTGATGCTGATCAAGATATATGTACATATACCCCCCGTCCTTCGGTGATGGGCTTAAAAACGGTTGAATACTGAAGATGTGTGGCATGGCCATACAACGGCGCCTGCCTGCCATCGTAAATGTCTCGCTTTAATATAGCACCTCTAAACATTGCTTCTGCAACTTATCATAAAGCTAATTTCAAATTATCACAGTTGGATGCAAAGAATGAAATCAATTCAATAGATATTTTTTACATAAATAAAATAATATAATAAATAAATTTTGGTAACAATTTCAAACGTTTTTCTTTTACATCTGCGAAAAACAAGGAAAGCATTTTTTACTATTAAAATGCAAAACCGCGTTCATAATTACCAACGTATCACAACTTCATGACATCCTAACAATTAGTTTACAGGTTGTAGTATCATCTTCTCAATAATTCCAAACATGTGAGAATAAATTCTTTGAAATCATATGTTGAATGCAATATGCTTATATCTCCGCAATTCGACTCTTTTCTCAACACTTGTTACGCGCTTAATTCTCTCTTGTCTATCGAATACAATTTTTGCTCTTAAATTCGTTTATTTTATTGAAATTAAAAGAAAGAAGAAGAGAAATTATTGCATGACACTTTTGACTTGGAAAATGAGTTGGCTCGAAAGCTGATCACGGCAGTGGCCTGGCGGCATGAACTTGTTTTCCCAAAACTCCTAGTAGGCTTCTAAATCAATGAAAATTTGTTCTGTTTTAGTAAATAAGTGTGTGTGTGTGTGTGTGCAGGCATTACCTTATACACTCAAACCTGTTTTTTTAAGGTCTTTTTAAATGAGGTGCGAAAACTATTTTTTATAGGTACATTATAGACAACTTAACTTACATTATTGACAGCAAAGCCGAATATAAATTTTTCGAATATATTGGACCGTGTTTGAAGCATACAAAATTTACAAATTTCTGGGATACATTAAATAAAAAAAAAGTACCATTTTTACTAAAGTCTTGTTTCACCGTTTCAGCGACATGTCAAACAAATGCTTGAACATAATAGGTCTTGTGTCTTAAAGTATTCATTTGTAAAAATAAAAAAAAATAAATAAAAAATAAAAAAAAATTAAAATTAATTCAAATGATTAATACTTGAAAAATTCTTTATAAATAAATTAAAAAATTGAGTAAATTTATTATAATTTGCGAGGGGAGACAGCGTCTCTTTATGCATAAATTGCAAAAAGTTGAATGTTAACTAAAGTCATTAACTTGATGTCAAAGAAAGAAATAAAAAAAAAAAAAAAAACACCTGCTTTTTAATTTTTTGTTTTTTGTTTGTTGCTCACGAAGCGGAAGTTATATAATTAATACCGATTTTTTTCGATCAACAAAACTCTGAAATTGTTTGCAAAATAAATTTTAAAATCTCTAAAGAAGGTTCGATGAGTTTGTTTAATATATAAATATTGTGAAAATTTTTCTTAATCATGAAACTATGAAGAGAATGAATTAGCTTTTTTGAGATTTTTTAAAAAAATGGAACGTTTATAATGGCCATCGATTGCCAATTGCTCTCCTACCTCCCACTGAAAAAAAGAAATTGGAATGCGGAGAGCGCAAGTGTAGTAAGGATGTAAACAAATATAAGGACATAAGAACTAAGTATCTATATTTATTATTGAAACAAGCGTTAATAAAAAGTTTTATTCGGTGAACAAGGAAATATGAGCAATAACTTCCGTTTCAGTAAAAATCTTGAACGAAAAAATTTTTCATCTGTTTTTGATTCGAATTCGCTATACCTCCCATTGATTTCTAAACAATTTGACCTGTTTTCATCACAAGAAAATTAATAATTAGGCTTTTTTGGGATATAAGGGTTTACGTTTCATGAGAATCCTTATATGCGATAGTATCCAAAAACCAGACCTACCTTGTAGATAGATAGAAGGTAGATTTCTTTGCCACTTCACTATTGTGGAATAATTTTCATATTGAAAATTCTACCTTTTTACCATGTAAAGCTTCGGTCGCCGTAGGAACGATTGTATGAGTCGGGTCCAACAAACTACCACAGCCGATCAAAATTGCATACCAATTTAAACTCCGAAACACTACAACTCAGCCACATAATGCGTATAGAGTTGGGTGGGACTGTGTTTATTTTTACCGGGTTAGCTCAGTAGAAGAAGAAGAAACAAAAATAATGAAAAAGCAAAGTTATGTTAAAGAGGATGCTATGTTCGGACATGTAGTGGCGCCAATCGCAATATCACTTGTCATATAGCAGCAGTTGCTGGTCTTAATTGCATTTGTGGTTGTTGGTAGTTTTCCTTAGCCAGTGTTAAACTTGATTGATCATTATGCATTACATTCAGGTTTCAATTCAAACTACAAGTCTCTTGGAGAAAAAATATTTTGGTTTGGATATTATCCTACATAGACGGGCACCTTTGGGTCCAGTGTATTGGTAATTTACGTATGATGAATAAGTATTTTATATATGATAGTATCAATTCAAGAGATCTACTTTAATTGTCTTCTTCTCTGTCAACCGAAAAAATTATTATTAAACATATATAAGAAATTATGAAAATCAATTTTATTTCCTAGCATTACGTGTAAAATTTGATTTTTTTTTTCGCATAATACGGTTCATTTTCACTTTTATCATATAAGCGATATTATTTATAGCTCCATCACTTCTCCGCCTGCACTCTCTTTACCTTGCGCCCGTCGTTCGAGCTTCTCTTTGGCCATATTTTCCAATTGTTCTTTCGTTAACAATGATATACCCAGTTGATCTTCACGCGTGAATGCTTGCGCCATACGTCTTAACCAGCGACGAGCTAATTGCATTGCTTCTTCTGTGCTAAGATTACAAAAACTATCCACTAAATGCTCTTGTATCCATTTTGGTAGCCGACCGCGTTTATCTTGACGCGAGAAACGTTTATCAGCGAATATCATAATACCATAATCAGTTTTACCACGCAAAGCACGGCCCACGCATTGGGCTGCGTGGCGCATAGCATCGAAAGTGAGGAAATCGTTTTCACGTATTTGAAATTGATCACGTAAGTAGTCTAAACGTGCTTTTAAAATTCGGGATTGAGTAAACACATAAGGTATGCCAAACATTAGTACCGCACGACCGTAGTGGTGGTCAAAATCTACTCCTTCTGAAACTTTGCCACGGGCTACAGCCAATAAGACAGCTCCACGACCGCAATCGCAAGCCTGGAGAAAAAAAATTATGCAAATTTACTTAAATCATACCGCATTTGCTTACTTTAACATAATTCATTAAAGCATAGCTAGTTTCGGCATTGTCCTGAGTTTCAATAAATAGCAGCTTATAACGGAGCAATGTATCCACAATACCCTGATCATACCAAGAAGCCACCACCGACTCCAAATACAAGTAAGAAGTGAAAAAGCAAACAACCCCATCGGGAACTGTTTTTGCAGTTTCTACTAAAAGTTGCCCATAATTTCGTATAACGGCAGTATCTTCACGGGTCTCATATTTCGAAGAAATAGCCACCTGATCATTACCCTTAGAAACAATCTAAAATATTTTTCAGTAAAATCAGCTTTCATAAAGTAAATTTAAAAATACTGACCATGGGTAGAAGACAAGGCCTGGCCAAGGTCATCGTAAAGGAACTCATTACAACTGGATCGAAATTTAAAATTTTCGGGTACATATCCATAGGCGATAATGTGCCCGACGTAATAACAACAGTTTGAAATCTTTGAAATACCGGAGCTATAGCTATAGAAGAATCCATGCAACTGAAGTGCAAGATAGGATTCGCTACGGTTGGAGTCTTGTCATCAAATGGTTCAATGATGATGGTGAAGCCTTTAATATATGTAGAAGCTAAAGTAGCGAAATGCGTAACGTGCAAATGTGCAATTTAGTGAATATTGTTTAGCTTTTTTACGTGCAATAGCAAACCAATATTAAGGAACCATATTCAGTCATATCGCTAATTTCCAGAGTTCTTAATAAGCTGCTTAGGCGCTCCGCACAAAATCTTAAAGGTTTACGTTCTATACATATTTTTGTAGCTATATCTTTTAAAAATCCCGCCGGCGATTCCTGTACTACATGGTGTACTTTTAGACGGGTTTTAATGTACTCAATGAAACGCCTTAGAAAACTAAGAAAGTGATCAGCATTACGCATATTTCCCGGAATTACATCTAAAAAAATAGTGAAATTCTGCAAACATTTTCATGATAGTTGAATTTGATATGATATTTTAAATGCACCTTTCAACACATCATTAGGTAGTATAGGATTAGCCAATATCATGTCCGTATCTCTCTGAACACTAGCATCCCTTAACCCCTGAACCATTCGTTGATATTCGTCATTTAAACGACTTGTACCCTGATCACGATAACTATAAAGCATGTAATGTTTCTCAGCATAAAAATAACTGTGCTTACAAATCTTACTCTTACTTACTCTTGCACTAGTTTTTGTAATTTATTTAAAGCATTTGTGCTGCGTTCTACTATTCGGCGATTAATTTTGACACTCATCGAATCAATGCAGACATTATCTATGTTGTGAGCCTCATCAAAGACTATACAAGTTTCGCGACACATTTCCTTGGATACTACTTCAGCAATTTTGGGATCCAAAAGATAATGGTAACTGTACACCACAATATGGGCTTGATTGATCTTAAAACAAAAATAGATATTCGGATTATTTTGTACAAAGTAATGTAACGTAAAGCTTTACAAACTCACTGCTTGCCTAGCCAAGAAATAAGGACACCAATTACGCATGCGACCGTATTCTTTAAGATCATCAATGCTGTAAATTCCAACAGGAAGAGCAGATTCCTTGCCCTCCAAACTGTAACCCTCGTAATATTGACCTAGCAAAAGAAAAATTGGGTAAGTTAATCTTGTTCACTATTCCGACTAAAACGTACGTACATATAGGTGTCTCCGGTTCTATTTCATGCCGTTCTCTAATATAACTAGCGGTTAAACCATAACATTTACCGTCTACCGCTTTACCTTCGCGTTCTTTACTCACTTCTGGATGAATGCACATGTTTTTACGAGAACTCAATACCAAACCTATTATAGCCGGAGGTTGAGGAGCATTTTTTTCATAGTAAGCCAGTAAGTTTTGTAATTCTGCTATAACCTTTTCAATTTCCGGTACTGTACGTGAACAATATATCAACTTTCTTATAACTTCCGGGTGCTCAATCATATAAGCCACTATTAGTGAGAGCAAAGTAGCAGTCTTCCCTGTTCCGGAAGGCATTTCCAATAGGCAGTGGCCTTTTGCGTCCAAAGTACGCTTAAGTTCCAACATGTAGGCATACTGCTCTGGATAAATGTACTCATAAGGGAAATAAACCAATAAGCCATCAACACTGATTCTAAATACAAAAAAGTAGAGTTTGTTTTGAGATCTTGAGTATCATTGGACATTCTTTTATTTTTATTTTTTTTTGGTATGTTGAACAGAGATGGACTAAGCCAATAGATTTGTGGCTTATATGTCCAAATAATAAAGGACATTCTTTTATTGAGAAATGTAGCTTATTGTGTTATTTAACTCCGAGATAAAATATAAATTCTTACTAGTATTGAAGAAAATAAGTTTTTATGAAAGTTTTAATTAACTTTGGTAAAACTTACTTCATAATTAAATCGGTTAAATTATCTAAACAATTTAATACTATTGTGTACAAAAGATAGAAGTGTTGAAATTGTTGATAGAGAAGGCGAATTAAACAATCCAACAAACTTTTGCCAATATGTGAAACGGAACGAGATAATGAATAGATTATTTTATGAAGTATATGTCCAATGCAATAACACTCTCTTATCAGGCGTTGAAAAGGTTGAAAGCAAGACTGCGCTTGCTTATGAGACGAATTACTGTTGAATACGTTCAATACGAGCACAATAACGGACAACCTGACTGAAAAACTGCTTAACTTCTTAAGCGCCAATACATAAACGCATTTGCATCGTGCATCATGCAAAATATTTTTTTATGATTTTTACTCCAGCCATGCAATGAAAGCTATATGTAAACATGTACAGTAACATTTTATTTTGACGGTTGGTGCTTGATGTAATTGTTAATTATTCATTGTGTGTGCAATCCGTAACCCATAATGTCAATGGAGTTCTTATATAAGCGCTTAATTTCATTCTTTTGCGGTTTATTTATGCCGACTTCTCTCTAATTATTTTTCTAATTACAGTTTCCAAATTTAGAAAAAGGGTTATAAATATTTCTTTTCGACCGCGTTTGCATCATGCATATACCAAAACAATCTGAGCACAACAATAAAGTTGATAATGTCAAAAAAGTATCCTTAAACAGTATTATTTTATTATCAGCCTGGCTAAGCTGTAATTACGTTTTGCAAAACTGTGGCCACACAACGGAATTATGCGGAATTATGCTTATTTCTTATTTTTATGTTGGTGAAGTCTTTTTTCTTAAAATTTAATAAAAATATGGAGAAAAATCTATCGTATTATTTGAAAATAGAGATACAATTTCGACAAACGGAAATTTAAAAAACTTTCGGTAAATGTATGAGATCTGTTTTCATTTTCTTGCTATATAAAATAAGTCAAAGAAGAAATGCCAACAACAAAAAAGAAGGCTTGCTAATAGGCAGAAAAGTAAAAAGAAAATCGTACAAGAAAAGCAGGAAGTTTATTGATGATAAACAAAAAGCCACAACAGCAATAATTATCAATTTTGAAATTTTAAACGCGTTCATACAGAAGGGGCGTATAAATAAAAGAAGAAAAAAAAACAAATGTAATTCAAAAAAAATTAAAAAAGAATCACGTCATTGTTGGCAAAACCAAAGAAGAAGCTTTACAACAAAACGCTTTTAGGTGCCTTCTGAAATGCGTTGGCGATCAATTTAAAAGAAGTGTTAATTGTTAAGTTGTGCTTATACATGGAGTTTAGTCAATTTTCATAGATTATCTGAATAAAAGCCAATGGGAGAGTGCGTTCATTTCCGCACCATTTCTCAAGGATAAAACGTTGTGCTTGTTTATGTGCTTTCATCTTCCTTCTAATTGCTGTTTTAAAACATAGTATTTATATATTGAGATGATGATGATGATTGATGAAGAACAACAAGCTTTGTTAAAACGAGCTTCCGAAGAGCGTGAATTGATATTTCATCGTTACAGTTTGGGTTTAGATCCCAACAATGAGGTGGATCCATGGGAAAATCCTACATATGAGATCTATCACATAACCGATAAGTATGTCGAACCAAATTTTTAAGCTTTATTTCCTCTCCTTTTTTAATATCATTAGATATGGCTTCATGCATGATTCCCGCCTGCCAGATACCCGCGATTCTCATGAAGTGCAGCGCACTAAAATCGAATTGGAACGTGATAAGAAATGGATGAAAATGCTTGCCAATTGGAATTCCCACCACGAAAAATTGCGAAAGCGTGTTTTCAAAGGAATACCAGACCGTATGCGTTGGCCTGCTTGGAAGAAATTGCTAAATGTTGATGAATTAATGATTTCCAATCGTGATACCTACCAGCGTATGCTGGATTTGTCTCGCAAATACTCAACAGAAGTGCGACAAATAGATTCCGACGTCAATAGACAATTCCGTGATAATTTAGCGTATCGTGAACGCTATAGTGTAAAGCAAGTGTCATTGTTCAACGTTTTAAACGCTTATAGTGTATATAATCCCGAATTGGGCTACTGCCAAGGTATGTAAGCGCTTAATTTCATTCTTTTACGGTTTATTTATGTCGACTTCTAGGTATGGCCTGCGTTGCAGCCGTTCTTCTTTTATATATGCAAGAAGAAGAGGCATTTTGGGCTTTGAATACCTTAATAGTGGATAAAAAGTATGCAATGCATGGCTTATTTATAGAAGGATTTCCAAAATTGACACGATTTTTGGAACATCACGACCGTATAATGTCAAAAATCATGCGTAAATTACATCAGCATTTTATAAAGCACAACGTCGACGCTATATTGTATTCAATTAAATGGTTTTTTGTAGTGTTTGTGGAAAGGGTATGGCCTAGAAACATGTATTTGTGAACATGTGAATAGTGTTAAATTTATTGTATTTAGATACCCTTCAGCTTAAGTTTACGTGTATGGGACATTTTTCTGCTGGAAGGTGATCGGGTCATTACGGCCATGGCAATAACAATATTGTATTTGCACAAAAATGAACTGTTACGCCTTAAAGACATGGATTCTATTATTGAATATTTGCAAGTTAAATTGCACAAGAATTTTGGTTACAACGACGATTACGTTGTTGAAGCTTTGGAGCGAGTAATGAAGAAGCTGAAAGATTTAAAACTTGATGTACCACCTCCTGCCAAAGTAAATGAATTCCCCACGAAACCATTGGGAGAATTTATTGAAGCTGATATTGAAAAGAAAATAGGGCGGCGACGTTCGGAATATACAGATACCGAAAAACAGGTTATTAATGATGTGATATTAAGGTAAGTGCTAGTAGCAGCTTCCTTCAAAATTTATTAAATTAATTGAAACCTATTTTTTGATAATAATTGCAGACAAGAACAAAATGCAATTGAAGTACAATCTAATGTTTCTTACGAAACTTCAGAATGTGCTACGGGTGAGTTTATAACAAAAAAGTATGTCAAAGTTTTATATAGAATCCTGCATTTATAAGTAAGCCAAAAAATCTCATGTGCAAACACTATTATAAAAAGTATTAAAGAACTTATAAAAACTGGCAGTTTATATTATAAAATTTTGCATATATAGATTTTTGTTGATAATGCATGTATATTACACGTAAATTTTGCAAATATTATGCACTTGACATGAACGATCACATTTTTCAATATTTATTGCAATTTATCATTTTAACCCACCATACAGTGCCTATAGGAGTTTACCAGATTTACTAGAATTCATGAAATATCCAAAAAGCCATCCTTTATTGTCACGAGTAGTTGCAATATTTTCTCCGCATTACGCTCTTCTCATATGATCTCAATGCGACAACAAAACAATGAATTTTATAGACATACCCTTTTTTTAAATCCATTGGAGAAATTATAATGACCATAAATTGATGCAAGTGCACTTAAAGAATATGAACACAATTGGGTAACTTCTCGTCGAAGTTTATTAAATAAATAGGGGTCAGTTGAAATACTAAAAGATCGAATGTGATGACCTAACCTTGAAACAACCAACAGAATTTCTACAACTTTCTAAAAAAAAAAAAAACGAAAAAAGATTGTAATACTGATGATATTATTAAATCAAATGTATGTTTATTATTGCTTTCGCGAGTCACTTAGTGTGTGTAAAGTAAATCAGCCGCTAAGTAATTGGGGACAACTAGCTGAACTTTGAGATTAAAATTGCTTATTGAGTATTGCATTTTCCGACTTATTATTGCTGTTCATGAACCGCAACTCTCTCTTTATTTAAATTCATTTTTGTAGTGTGTTATCAATTAATTGTCCTAGTATTAATTTTATTTGATATGCAACTTTCCGGTATAATCGTTTTTTGATTTTCTCGTTGTAAGACGCAATCAACTTTCTTGGTTAGAAGTGAATTAATTAGAAAGATTACGTTATTGATATACATATAAAAAATGATGATGATACAATATAAAAAATTTCCTTTTTAAGTGTATTTGTTGCGGTACTCTTAACAGAAATTGAAGTTGTAACTTAATTGCTAACGTGTTTTTAGTTCAATACTATAGATCAAATTTGTAAGTCAAACGATTGTAATCACGAAAAGTGCAGTTTTCATTTACCCGCGTATCGTTCAAGAGCAATAATAATTGCGAGGAAATAATTTTTAGAATTTGCGACATTATCGATAGCATCAGATAGAAGTGAAGTTTACGGAGGGCAGATAATAAAGTTTTTGGAAACCTGCTCCTGAGACAATTTGTCCGACCACGAAGTCATTATCAAGCGGCAATGAGGGGGACAAAAATGAAAAAAGTCGACCCTCTTCCGTAATTTAGTTAAGTCAGTTTGTTCGTTTACATTGAAGCCGTGTTGGGGGTTTGATATTATTTTTTAGGCAAAGAAATGAACGTAGGCTGATTCATTTAGTCGGTTTTAGAAAGGTTAACGGTTAAACGTATTTCTAGAGAAGCGCAGAGTATTTTCTGCTAACGATGAGCTGTATCCGTCTATCGGTTAACTATATTTTTGATTGCATGTTTTAAATTTATTTTCGTATTTTTTATGTTTATAACGTGGCTAACTTTATCTTTCCTTTGACTTGTTCTTTTTTCATTTTTCCTTTGTTTCTTGTTTTATTTCTTTAACTTTATGGCATGAATTTGAAAACATTTTTTTTTAGGTGATGCATATTCCATGAAAACTTATCAAAGTATCACTAGTTTAGCCACTTCACCAGCAATTAGCAGTAGTTCATTGTATAGTAACGGATTTATTGTCACCAACATCCCCATCAGCAATCTGTCTGCTTCATCACATAGTACGACAACTATCACATCAACTACAGAAACAACGACTTCAGCTACTAGTTTTCATATCGTCAGCACAGCCATCAATATAGCCAATGCCGATAGCACAAATAGCACAATCACAAAATGGACTTGTAATGTTAATGACTTGCACGATGACTTACAACAACAGCAATTAAATGGTGATGATACGTTGTACCAAAAATGTGAAAATAATAATCGCGATATTAATGGTGATGAAGATGTTTGCAAGCAGATTAAGCACGTGAGAGAAGCTGAGCGTGATATTGTGAATGTCAGTGATCATGACGATGAAGAATTAAGCGTAGAAAACACTCGCCTTTAAATTGTATTTATTAATTTGTACACTTACCTAAATGAATACCTATCGGAAAAGTGTATTTTGGATTTTCCTTAATTTAGTACAATTTTTTAAATTAGTGTTTTTTTTTTTTTCTTTTTTTTTTATGCTAAATAATTGTACTAAAGCTTAGTATATTTTGTGTTTGAATTTTACAAATTATTGAGTTATCTAAGTAAATTTCGGTAAATTCAATTAATTTGAATTGTATTTTTAGTATTTCTTAGAACTAATTTATGTATTATACGTATGCAATGAAGACTTGATTTTTTATTCCTTTATACATTTACGTTATCTTTTCGGAGGCCAAATAGTCTAGAACTAATTTTAAAGTAAAAATTTTCATTTTCACTCAAGTAGTTTGTTCGGTTTGTACCTATGTTAAGTTAATTATCGCATTAACCAAATCTTATATTTATTTATATATATGTATTATTTGTTTAAATTTAGCTCTTAAAAATTCTTTCTTCCTGTAATGACTGTTTCTTCTTTGAATACAACGAAAAAAAAAAAAACAAAACTAACATTCCCTTGAAAATTGCGAATTCCTTTAGAGGAGAATCTAATCCTTCTTTTCCTCCATTTGCAACATAATTTAATAAAAAAAAAAAAAATGTATATTTTCAAAACATTTCCAAATTTTCTTTTGTAATTATCACAAAATTTATGTTTAAACTTTAATTAGTTATTTATATATACTCAGTAAATAAAAAAAAATATTTTTGTATGCAATTTCTATATTATTTTCAAATTTATTTGCATTAAAAAAATGTAGCAAATAGATTGGTTGTGCCCCATTTGCTTATAACAAAATTACCATGCAAGCACTAATAACAACATAACCTTAACGTTAACATAACTTCAACTTAAAATTACCATAACCCCACTTCTCAAAAGGTACATTTTCAAAATAAAAGATTCTTCGTTTATCCGCTTGCATTCATGCTTTTCTATGTCGCTATGGTGCAAGAGAAAAAGTCTTTTATTATATTATAAATTTGATTTTAAAGCGGTAGTGGTGTCTAGGTAATAAGAATGCTATTTAAAAGCATATGATGAACCCATGTCTTAACTTCTTTATATATCTTGACCCGCTAGGTTTACTTTGACTAAAAAAACATGCAACGTGCGATATACGACATTCATGCAAATTAGGAAAGCACGTGAAGCGTAAGAAGCATCATTGCCAAAAGTGGTAAAATAAATGGTTCTCAGTTATAAGAAGTGTGATAACCGCATTATCCATGTGTTTCGTTCACGTTCATTTACGATAATCGTTTAGATTGATTGATAGGTAGAATGCTTTTTATTTGCTCATTTTAATGTTGATTCAATGGAAAAACAACTTTTTTGTTACTTATCAAATGAATGCATTTATTTGATGTTTCAAATAATTTATAACAGTTAAATAACACGCTAAAACTAATTTGAATTGTAATTAAATTTATGAACTGTAACTTAATCGCTTCCTACAACAAATATTTTACTCTTTAACAAAATGTTTATCATTTTGATTATGCGAAATTGAACATATTTATAGTACATTTAACTCTACCACACGAGGATAATCACTCAATTCGAAGTTCGCTTGCAGGTACGTCAATGGCGTCGCACGGCTCATCTGAAACATTTTCAATGGAGGACAATAAGTAAGTTTGAAATTCATACTTAAATAGATAAATAAATCTTATATTAAATAATTGCTCTTATCCTTAGCATACATTTGAAGACAGCTAACGCCTTACAAAGTACGCCACAACGCGAATTGCTGCCGGGTACTTGACGTTTTTGTACGCAGCCTACTTATAACCTGTTAGCTTTCTCGAATCAATTAAAGACAACGCCAACCGCTACATGTACTTCCGCGAGCGCTATTAATGAATCGCCTCTCAAATCATTACCTGCTGCAGCAGCGAATATGACGATGACCTCCCGGAATACTATAAGTAATACTCCTGACACGACACCACATCAGACGCCTGTACGTCAGGTCAATCTTGTAATAAAAGTCGAGTCTCCACTACCACCCGCTTCCTCGTCCACAAAATCTTTATCAGTTAAGACATTAACGCCATTATCGCAACCGCCGCTAAAAGATAAGCAAAATCTCTATATTAACATTCCTTAGGATTCTCGCAGTGGAATTCTGAAAGCCTTGCAGTTTTGTTTTTTATGGTATATATTATGTATAGATTTAAATTAAATTTGATGCATTTTTTAATGCAACAAACATTTTTTCATATTTTATACTTTTTACATTTTTTTTTTAAATGAATATATTCAGAGACTTTTAATTTTAAGGCTGCTTTATTTATTTTATTACTTATTCCAAAAAAAAAGAGTCTTTCTTAATTTATTTCTCTACAGTTCTCTTTAATTATTCCGTATAACATTTTTAACCGTATTTAATATTTTTTTAATTGATTATTTTTAATCTTTAAGGAACACAATTAGTTAAAATTTCAGATAGAGTATATTTTTAAGCAAAAAAGAGATGATGTTCAACTTGATATTATTTAATTAAATTAATACTACATTTTATATTATATTTTTATAATCATTATCGAAAGCAGCGAATACGCATGCCGTATGTAGTAGTATGTCATAAAAAAGTATGCGTCAAAGACTACAGTGCACATATCTATTCAATGAGCATAACATTCTGAGGAAAGTCACCCACGTCCGCTTCCCCCTGCTTTTCTTTTCCAACTCGTGATCCATGGTGGACACATAGACTCGCAGTTGATGGTCACAAATCAAATTTTAAAATAGGCATAATTTCTTTAAAGTAAATAAGAAAATAGAACCCATAACATCTCTAGCTAAAATTAGTCTTGGAACCATTTTTTGTATAACTAATCAAAGCAAGTCAAATATTTTTCTTTATCGATCGGCTTGAGATTCGAGGTCGATAGTAGAAGTAGCGAAAGTAGGAAAAATTAGGCAACTCCAATTTGGTACATAGTCAAAGAAGTTAAAAATGCTGCAGTAACAAACGTCAGATTAGATATCTGATTGCTAAGGGCACTTTTTATAAATTTCATTTAAAGGCACTTTTTATATATTACATGCGTATTGCATGCTTTAGAATAACTTACAACCGAAGAATAAGATGCCTTCGCTTCCGAAGCTTGCTATTTTATCGTTACACTCGTACATTTTCGGGAAAAAGTTGGAGTTTAAGCATTTACACATACTTAGGAGAATATCAAGAACGACCAAAATTGAAGCAAGAAAATATGTAGTTAAAGCCCTTTTCTTGCTTCTAATCTCGCGCATATTTAGCATCTTAGCAGGTACCAATTTTCCTTTTTTTCCTGCATTAAATGACGAAGACTAACTTTAGGTTATAGGAATAAACAGAAATGAAAAAAAGAGCCTTTACGCCAATTTAACAAACATCCATTCGTGCATCCTGAGAAATCCTGAAGTTGTAAAAATTTAAGTTTAGCATTCGTTGATCAATTGAATATCGTAGTTCAATGTAATAAACATATATACGGTATGTTGATGAAGCTGACTGATAGTGAAAAATGACAATTTCTTGGTGATAATTTTTTCGTAAAGTTATGAAACTTATGGAAAGAAAAAAATTATGAACATTTTGTTTAAGAGTTGAAAGCAAATAAAAATTAACAAAAATAATGCTACGCATTTCGTCCACTAACATAATACATGTCTTAGAGCAATATACACAAATGTATAATAAAATAGAAGAGAAAATAAATAAATAATTTAAGTTATTTAAAGAAAGTTACTTTTTCATCTCTTCCGATTTAAGAATCATCTCTTATTTTTTTTTCTTATTTTTGCTACTGCTTTCGATCATCTTGCCTAAATCTTTAAGCGACACTTCTCCCGAGCCTCGGGCCAATGGTACCGGTTGATTAGGACCAGGTTTCCAACCGACAAGGTAAATTATTTGAAAAGTGGCAGGCACACCCTTATCCTAATCATAAAATTATACTTTTGCTTTGCATATCCTTATTAATGAATCAATCACCTAACCTTAGTATAAAGTTCTTTATATATTGCGCTTGCTGCCAACATGATATCACGATCTAAGTGAGCCGGACGATTGAACGCGGCGTTGTTTTCGGCCATGCCTTTCAGATCCCACATAAGTTCAAACATGGATGGATAACCAATCACGAGCTCATCAGTGTCAATCGTTAACATGGTAAAACCTGCACGATTTAATAATGCACCGACGTCCCTTATCTAAAAGTGCAAACGAGTGTTGTATAATTCCTTTCACCAAATAGTCGCATTCTTGCGATACCTGCGTAAAAGGTGAAATATGAGGAGCAATGCCACCTTTACGTTCCAGGTCAGCAAGTTGTAAAGATGAACGCAGTTCATATAACGTATCTCCACCGAACATAGATGCTATAAATACACCGTCCGGCTTTAGACTTTTAATAATGCGGCTAAAGCATCCAGGCAAATCATTAACCCAATGCAAACTTAAACTCGACATAACCAAATCTAGGGAATTCTCTGCAAACTATTTCTTAATTAATGAAATTATAAGTCCTCCTTCATAGGCCAACAGAGTTCACCTCAATATTCTCTTCGTCCATTTCCTTTTTACTTATCCTTAAACCGGGTGTGCCTTGGGCTTGCGAAAGCATTGTTGGACTCATATCACATAAAGTTAAATGTTTGACACTTTCTGCCAATACATGACGTGATAAAAAACCACGACTGCAACCCAAGTCAGCGGCATTTTCAAACTCTCGCTTAATATCGAATATTCGATCAGACAAGCGAAAGCCTATCTCTTCCTTTAAATAATCATAAAGTTCAACATCTTCTCTGAAAATTACTAATTAAAAGTAAGATGATTAATAAATGTTGAGAGATGATAGAAATACCTTATCGCAGCTCTTTCTCTTTGGAATTTTTTAGCTTTTCTGTCGAAAATTAATTGATGCGAAGGGCGACTGCTAGAACATCTAATCGCAAATTTTACCATTTGAAACGATGAATATTTTTCATATGCACTCCGTGTGGCGCATTTTAAATACATACTTAATATTTTCTTTTACGGCCACTTGAAAATTCTATGCGAGTATTTTCTTTAAATCATATGTTTTCTTAGCAACTGTCGACAAATTCGTATTTTAAATGTCTTCTTCTTCTTTTTTTATTCAGCAAATTAACATCCGAAAATTCGATATGAAGGGTAAAAAGACCTAACGTGAACATCAGTTCTTTGTTTAAGCCTTAGTAAAGTTAGGGTTAGTGTTGGTATATAATTTTTAATATTTATTTATTTTATTATTTCTTTGCATTTCGTAATTAAACTATATATGTCTTGATAATTTTGCGGATTAATAGTTCGCCATTTTTTTTTTTTTTTAGATAAATTTCGTAATGTAAGAAGTACGGTAGTACATGAGTATAAAGTATGGTATGAAAGAACTGAGAGGTGTGGCAATAAATATAATAATACTAATAATAATGGTAATAATAATAATAAAAGCAACAATAATGATAATGATAACAACAACAATAACAAAAGTAATATACATAATAAAAACTATACAAATAATAAATATAATAAAAATAATAAAAATGATTAAAATGATTAATATAACAAAAATAATAAAAATAATAAAAATAATTAAAATAATAAAAGTACTTAAAATACTTCAAATAATTAAAATACTTAAAATAACTGAATTTAAAATAATAATAAAACAAAAAAATAATAAAAATTATGAAATAATAATAATCGCAAAACAAATAATATAAAAAGTACAAATAATACAAATAATAACAATAATAAAAATACTTCATATAATTAAAATAATTAAAATATTTAAAGTAATCAAAATAATAAAAATAGTAACAAATATAAAAATATTTCAAATAATGGCAATAATTAAAATATTTGAAGTAATCAAAACAATAAAAATAGTAAAAATAAGTAACATTTTTAAAAATATAAAAATCATAATAATCATCATAACAATAACAACAATAATTACAAAAATAAAGGAAATAATAATAACAATTGTAATAACAATGATTACAAAAATAACGAAAACAACAAAAATCATTAAAATAACAATGATTATAAACATAACATAACAAGGATAATAAATAGAATAATTTATAAAACATCTATAAAATATATAAAGGAAAAAACCTGAAATATATACAAATTAATAATTACACTTATTCTACATACATATTTACATACCCTTTATTTAAAATCTTTCTGGTATTTATTATTTATTTCCGTTATTACGGAAAGAATCCCCTTTATTGATCCTCCTCTATCAAAAATTTTTCACAATTAAATTTTATTTCGAAGTTTCAGTTTGAAGTTTGAAATTTGTGCCAAGTTATAAAAAAAGGGTTGCCATTGG